AGGGCCCACACATGGCTCACAGGCCTCACTTTGCTCATAAACTTTACCGGGTCTCCAAAGAGGAGGGGAACAGGACAGTGTCTCTTCAGAGTGTCCATGTGGGTAGTCTTGGCTTCCTCCTGGAGGTAATTTGGGTGTAGAGAAGAGGAGCTGGTTTCTGAGGTTTGATGGGACTGTCACTTGAGGGGTAGTGGGTGAGAACCAGCGCTTGCCTAGCATCTCCGGTGTCCATGGGAAACAAGAGCAGATGCTGGAATTTTAGTACAATATTTCCCAGGCACGATTTGTTCCTCCTTCCCAGCCCAGCCTCCCTGTCAACCCTAGTTACAATCAGTTTTCCTATTCAACAGTCCTGTAAAAGGCTTCACTCAAAGTATCAGGGAGGGCCGGAGCAGGCTTGCCATTTTACAAGGTGGCAGTTTTCTTTGGCTGCTTCTTTGTTAAATTAGATAGTGGGGAAGCACTCAGTAACTTTCTCAGTGGGGACAATTTTAGGTGGCCTGTCAGGTGCTCTGCGTGGTGCTTTTAGCAGAGCAGATCTTTTCCTCCTGGCAGTTGTTATCAAAATGGGAAGAGTATGAAAACTCTGCTATTCTGCTTAGAGCTGTCTTTCCTCCCTCCTGCAGTTTCTACACCAAGTGCTGGCTCCAGAGAGCTCCTTCTCGTGATTTTGTTCTGTAATATCAGTAAACAGGTAGGAGCTGCTTAGACTAGCGAGGTCTCCAGTTGATGCGGGAGGCATCTCGATCGCATCAAGGGAAGCCGTCCACTCCCCAGCACACGCACACACAGAGAGAGAGAGAGTACACATCTCTGTTGCTGAGGATGGACTCTTTTGGTGGCAGGGTTGAAAGGCTGGGGTGTTTGAGCCGTCACATTCCAGCGCGCTGTAGGAATCTTCTTGACCTCTCTTTGCCATGGACATTTCATGGGCAGTGGAGCAGGGGAAAGAGTATCAGAGCAGCGCTCAGGAGCTGTGCTGTTTTCAGGCTCTGTCTTGCCTGCTGTTGCCTGCCCGTTTCCCTACCCGTGCTTATTTTCCACAGACATGCGCCTCCGTGGCTCCACCATTCTTTTCACCCTGCAGCGCCTTTCCTGTTAGGCTCCCCTTCTTCCTGGCATTCTGCCCCTTTCCAGCCAAATAAAAACAGTGAGAGGATTGGAACAGGATGACTGTCTTGTACCTGTTTCTTCATCTCTCACGAGCAAAGCTGCTTTAGCTGCTCCTGTATGCTTCAGTCCATATGTTCTTCGCCGGGTGCTAAAATATCAGATACACAACAGGTATCAGGACAGGTTCTGAGGAGCTTCACAAAAGTATAACAGTGAACTGAAATAACACCAGTATGAAAAAAATCACAGTCCCACACCCAGAACAGCTAAATTTTGCAACTACTATAAATTATGCAGGTCTCCATCAATTAGTTTGGCAAGTATTATTGCAAGGAGCTTTGAAAAGCTTTTATATTCTGATTGTAGACTTTCTCTTTTCTATACTAGAGTGCCACAACTCTACTATATTTTCCCTGTGCAGTTGTGGGTGTGTCCACATTCAGCTTAAAGAATTCCAAATGTTAGAGTTTGGCAAGTATTATTGCAAGGAGCTTTGAAAAGCTTTTATATTCTGATTGTAGACTTTCTATTTTCTATACTAGAGTGCCACAATTCTACTCTATTTTCCCTGTGCAGTTGTGGGTGGGTCCACATTCAGCTTAAAGAATACCAAACGTTGGAGGGTATAAAAGCTTCCTGGTTTGCACCTGAATAGTGCAGGCATTTTCAGCCACCTAAGAAGGCCCAAGGTTGGGGACCACTGTGTTAGAGGGTATAAAAGCTTCCTGGTCTGCACCTGAACAGTGCAGGCATTTCCAGCCACCTAAGAAGGTCAGCAAGATCACCAAAGAGTGATCTAGTCTAGCTTTATATACAGATGTTGGGGCAGTGGTTTAAACACCACACAGTGTACTTGTACAGAAAGGATGTTATACCAATGGGTTGGCTTCTGTGCAGCTTCTGGCTGCTGTGGAACGTCGTTGTATTTTGTACTGTTAATACTGTTGCGTGACTTTCATATTATTTTGCTACTGCAAACAATGTATGTATTGGTTTACATTCCAGACAGAAAGAAAAACATGTTTTAAAATAAATGGATGATACTAGAAGAAAGTGCTAACATATGTATATATATGTATATATATTTAACTTTTCTCCCTTCATCCTCCTCCTAGCACTCTTACTTTACTGTGCCTGACACCAGAGAACTTCCCAATATACCTGAAAATGTGAGTAATCCCTCCTGCGTTGTTGGATGGAAAAGTCTCTTGGCTAAGATTGAAGTTCAGAAATCATGTCTGTTGGGAAACAGGAGAAAGTCACATGGAAACACATGACATGCATCACACCACACACATAAATGGTTGCAGACTGTATTTGTATGTGTGTGCGTGTGTGTGTGTGTGTGTGTGTGTGTGAGAGAGAGGGGGGGATCTTAGGGGCCTACAATGTCAGTGTTCTTTCCTGACACTCTGGGTAACCATTTTTTATTAGTTCTTTCTGTAAAGGCAAGACCCATGAGATGACCACTCAAAAACCATCCATTGCAGATAAATAACTCCTTTTCCCTTAAGAAAATTTTCTCTTTGTGTGCTTGGTTCTGTTTAAGTTGGAGAAACCGAGATGCACACTGAAACCACAGCAAGTTAGGGAATGAAACTCTCTCCTTTTTCTTGTGAAAGTTCTTGTGGCTGGTTGTATTCAGTACCACATGTTTGTGCACACGCGTTATTTCAGAAATATAGGCTCCCCTCACCAACTTCTGCACTGTTACGTTTTCTGTCTGCCAGTTTTGGTTGGCAGGAATCCCAATGTATGAGTCAACTTCCCATAACATTTGAGCAGTAGACATTCTGAATGCTTGTGAATCAAAGGATGCTATAAAAATTGAAGGCTTTGGGCCAGGAAGACTTGGAAAGGATTTTAAAATTACAAATTCAGTCTATGAGGAGGATGTGACTTATAATACTTGAAGGCATCTTCACTTAAGTTGTGTGTGTGTGTGTGTGAGTGAGTGAGTGAGTGAGAGAGAGAGAGAGAGAGAGAGAGAGAGGGAGGCTGGGGAATATATAGCACAGATTTGGGTGGTGTCCTTGATGCTTTCATTGAAGGGTGTCCAAAAGAGTTGCCTGGAGAGGTTGAAGGCTTGTTGAGGAAGAATAACAGAACAATGGATGTGATACAAACATTGGCCTTTAAACATTTTATTTGACTTTGCATGTGTGGGTCCTGGAGCAAAGGGAAGCAAATGCAAACCAAATGCAGGAGCTGGCGGGAATACTCTTGTGGTTCTGCCAATTTGTTGCTTCCTCACTCTGGACTCTCCTCAGCTTTCTTTTGTCTTGTTCATCTAATCATGAAGCACACATGAACAGTACCTAGCACGGCCTGGATATGAAGACAATCCATAGTAGCAATGTTCTTTTGCATTAGTATGGTTTTCTGACTGATGTCAAGGACTCTGTGCTGACAGCTTGTTGGGACAAGGAAAATTAAATAATGCCACCTAAATCCTGTTGAAGCAAGTTTTTATAAGAAGGAGGCAGTGAACCAAGTGGAAAAGTTGGGCAGTCACATTGAGTGATACATTGCCACCCTTCTTACTCAATGGTTTACCTGAAAGATGTGTATGTTATGGTTCAAAACTACAGTGAATGTCAGCCACCCCCTTGGCTAAGATCTAATAGCTTCATTAGACAAAGCTTTACCGCGGTTCATCAGATTTAATTCACGCAAAATAATTATCAGAAATGGTAAATTGTTACAGATTGAGCCTTCAGCAGCCAATTTGTTTAGATTCAGAAATAAATAGCAGCATCTTCTCTTCGAGTAGCTTAACATTCTGAGTGAGATGATGCTTTGGGCTTCACCTCCCTTGGAAGCTTCTGCATTTCTGTGCATGACCAGTATGTTCTTTCACATCTTCTCTCTCTCTGAACATCACAGATTGGCAGAGACTTTTGTCCCCTTATATTTTTACTTATACACTTCCATGTTCACATTTCTGTTGATGCTGTTAAGGCAAAAGCTTAAACTTTTCAGAGAACTATAAGACTTCTGCCTCCCACGTAGTCTTTGCTGGTCTCTCGGCACTCTCTTCCTAATCCCCAGGTTCCCTAGAGTGGTATCTTTTTATTGAGGGGAAATATATTCTGATAACCCCCACACCCACAAACGTATTGCTACATCAGTGTCCCAAACAACCACTGTCATGCTCAGGCAGTTTTTATGAAGCCCCAGAAGCTCATCAAATCCCCATTATTCTGTCGTTCTTTTCCTGTATTTGCTTCTGTCAGATTCCCTTCCTTTCCCCTCGTACAAGGTTTCAGCACATTTGGAGTGGAGAAGTATTAAAAGTGCTCAATATTCCTTTTTTAAAAAACAGCCTTCAGTTCTTACAATCAAGGTTAGGTCGTAGATTGACAAATAACCATCCCAGAGGTAATGGGTTCGATTCTCCACTGTGCCCCCTCGAACAGTGTCTGGACTCGATGATCCATAAGATCCCTTCCAGCTCTGCAGTTCTAAGACGATGATGATCTTGTTTTTGAGTGGTGCATATAAATAGGGAAGTGGAGGGGATCCCAACACAAAGTGGTGATCTCACGTTATATGGCTATTGACCGGCGAAGTAGGTCAACAGGGGACGATCCATTGAGTAATTCTCTAGTTACAAGTCTGGTTGAAGTAAGCGCTATTGCACATATCCCGCTGCTCTCAGTGGGGCTGGTGAAGAAAGACTTCTCTGGATCCCATGTTGTTCCGTGAAAGTTGGTAGTGCTGTTCAGATTTCTTGCCACCAATCGTGCAGTGCTTTTGGCAGGCCTGTGATGTCATCACTATGAACTGCTTTTTCTGTCTGCCTTTTTTTTTACCATTCACATGCCATGAAGCAGATACAGCTTCCAAAAGGCTTCTGTTTAGACACAAACATCTTGCTAATCAGCACAGATGGGATAAGATACGGGGAAGAAGAAAAATATCCTTGCCAGTTGAGAGTTTGGGATGAAATCTGTTCTCTCTCTCTTCCCCTCTCCATCTCCTGTTACTCTACCTGGATTTTATAGCACCTTTCTCACTTCGAGGGATCTAATAAGACCTGAATAGCATCAGTACACTGATGCAGCATTTATTAATCAATGTGTATTTATTTCTATGTTCAGGTTTTTTTTAATTTTGTTGGGTTTTTTGTTTATAAATCACAAAACACAACAGATCTTTACCAAAGGCCGTGCTTAATTTTTTGTCTGTAGCTTTTCCTTTGTATTTGGACAGCAAGCTGTGGAACATATTTCTGCACAGTATGAAGCCTCTTGGCAAACTTCTCAGGCCAAGTATTAGAGGGTTTTTTAAAGAGTTATCTTTGGATCTGTCAAAAGTGCTAATGGGCTCTCTGTGCTTCTCCGTGATTCTAAATCCTCTTTGCTCTTTGTCATCTTTTGGGGAGTCGGGGAGGGAGTTGTGCACATGTATGAGCACGTGTCCCTTTGTTTACTCTGTTTCTGAAAGGTTTAAGGTCCCACTCGAATTCATAATGAACCTAAATGTGCTTTTATTAACATCCTTATAAGTGATTGTGCATTAAAAGATGAGCTCTCGAGCACATGACTCTCCTTGGCTTGGTGGCCATCCACTCAGCTGCCATTCCTGATTGCTTAATTATGAAGCGGGTTTCTTTGAAACCCAGCAGTAGTTTTGGGTTTCAAAAGGGGGAAAAAACACAACCCGGGTCTTTGGATGCTATAAATCAACTCAGTTCTGCTAAAAACTGTAAAGGCACTTGAATGGCGCTGGTTTACACTGCCTTTGCTCCATGACTGAGTTGGGAAGGCACAGGATGAGTTGGGAGGGGCTTAATTTCAGCCTTCATAGCTTGGGTTGGATCTCTCTGAGGGACTGCATTCTCCTATACAAAAGGGAAGCCCATCTCTCAGTGTCATCCCCATCATGGGCATGTTTGGTAAGGATGTGAGAGAGGGCCTTCTCAGTCGCTGCTTGCAGTCTCTGGAACTCCCCGCAAAGGGAGGCAAGACCAGGAGCCTTTCTGCCAGCAGACAATAAATATTTGGGCAGGGCAGCTCACCCAACACATTCCCCCCTTTTTTCCCCTTTAAAAAACAACTTAAAGTTCTTTTGTTCTTCTTTTTCCCTAGAGGAATCTGACTGAGTATTTTGTAGCTGTCGATGTCAACAACATGCTGCACCTCTATGCCAGTATGCTGTATGAACGCCGCATCCTCATTTTCTGCAGTAAGCTGAGCACTGTAAGTTGACGGGAGAATGTTTGTTTCATTTTGACCAGTGTGTAGAGTTTCTCTTGGGGTTTTTTTAGAGGAGCCCTTTGAAGGTCAATAGGCTTGTAAGCCAAACTCCACAGAGTCTGCAGCTGGAGAGTCAGAGCAGGGTAAGCAAACAGCAGATAATGTGAAACTTACTTTGGGTAGCCTTGAGCTAGTCGTGTACTTTTGGACTTGTGAGTTCTACTTGCATGCCCCACATTACACACTTGCACAAGAGCCAGTGCAATACAGTGAAAACGACAGCAGAGAATCTAGCAAGTGTTACTTGGAATAAACGTCCATGGAGTTTGCATTCCACGTCATCAAGTGCAGTGACTAATGTTGAGTGAGAACCGGGAAGACCCAGACTCAAGTTCCCACTTCTATACGAAGGCCACCCCAGTCTACTTCACAGGGTTATTGTAAGGATAATAAAGAGAGGAGAGTCATGTACACCAGATTGAGTTCCTTGAAAGAATAGAGGGTTTTTCCTGTTCCTTTCCTGCTTAACACCAGAGTTCAACATGGCTATCCAAACGTGAGATGCACCAGTTGTAAAGTGAGGTTGCACCGTGCCCAAAGCAATGGCTCTTCTAGAGTTTCAGAGGGGATTTTTCCCACCCCTTCTTTGGAAGACCCAGAGATTGAAGCTCCAGTCTGCTGCATGCAGTGTCTTCTACCTCTAAGCTGTGGTCTGCCGCCGCCTTCTTGAAGGAACATGGGATAAGAATTAGGTTCAAATCAAAACTAAGGCTTAAACCTGTGTCTCAGAATGAGGGTGTGGAGCTAGGGTTCTTGCCTTCTCTGCTTTTCCTTTCTGCTGGTAGCTTGCCCCTTGCCTTCTACTGAGGGCCCCAGGCCTGCCTCTCTGCCAAGGCCACCTTAAAAGGGACCCAGATTCATGGGGGTTTTAACCGTAGCCTCAGCATCAGATACGGAGCTTGAGAAAAACACTTTCAGAACAAGGGAGGCTTCACTGAGGCTTCTTGGCCTTTGAAGTACTGAGATTTTCTTCTTGATGTGGGAGCTTTATAATAACATTTACCTGGCGTTAGCAGCAGTCTGTTTTGTATACCATATAGACAGATAAATATATATATATATATTTTAAAAATTGGTAAACGATGCTTTCAGATGGATCTTCTTGTGACCTCCTCTTGATGAACTCTGATGGTGGATGATAAGAACTGCATTTTTCACAATTTTGTCTGATAAGGATGGAGGCTTAATGCTACTTAGGGTCCATCAAGTACCTGAGAGATGAAAGCCGCTGTACACTCAAAGGGCTGTCTGCTCTAAAAATGGCCCTGCTTTTTTACTTTTAAATATGTATCTATATACTGTATGTGTGTGTGTTTACAACAACACAACACCTCAGCTTGGTTTAGTTCAAAGTTTCGATCCATGTATTGTACAGTTTTAACTATCAATAAGCTTATGCTTTTTTAATTAAAAAAATTATTAAGTTTTTGTTACAGTGCACTCTGTAAATGCATATTGATTAGTCCTTTCCCTACCTTGATTAAATGGTGAATGAAATATTTTCTCCCTCACATCATGAGCCTAAAATAGTTGCTTTTTTCTTCAGCTCTAAAGGTGGATAGGTTGGATCTGATCTTGATTGTGTGTTGCTGTAGCTGTATTAGAAGTATAGAAAAACAGATATTGCAGAAGAAGGAAACAACAATTTTGAAAATAATAAAGAAGACAGACAAGCACCTATTGATAGAAAAGATGGAGGCAGTGGGACAGTGTCCAGACTCCAGACCCATTGCTAGCTAGCACATAAGTTGTGCTTAAATCCTGACATATTCTGGTGGCCAGGCTTAATAAGAGAGTGGGAAGGTTTAACGCTTGCATATACTTGAGGCCTGGTTGTGTCTTGTGTAACTTTCTGTGCTTGGGAGTTTTATACTATTCAGATACGTTGCCTGGATTGAGGACACATTTTTACAAAAGGGAATGGGTGGGGAAAAGACTCATCATAGGTTTGAAGATTTCTAGTTATTTTCTAAATCTAAATCCTTAAAAATTATAGGCTCTCGCTCCCTCCCTTATAGGCATTGCCTATAAGCTAAAGTGGAAGAATCTGCTTTTCTTCCTCATAATCTTTATGACTCAAACAAATGGTCGTCCGGAGCATGGACAAAGGTAATTCGCAGAGCGCAACATCTATTTTAGGTAGGAACTGTGCCTCATCTACTGTGTGTTTCCTCAGTCTACTTCTTTTTGTTTTTTTCATTTACCCACCCGTTAGTTTAAGTGTGTCTATTCTCTAAACCTGAACAGCTGTAAGGTTCCAACTGTGTTGTTTTGCAGGAGCCTGAAAGTGACGAAGCACAAAAGAATTTTCCGATAATTGTCGGACATTCTGATCATGTCCGGGAATTGGATCTTCATCCCTGCCTCACACATCTGTCCTGAATTGTGGTGGCATCTAGGCACATTTTCTAGGAAGTGAGAGGGGCAAAGAACCAGTTGGGATGAGGATCTATGCGTGATGATGCCTTGAAGTTGCCTGACCCTATTAGTGTGGGGATGTTAACTGAGACCTTAGGTTGCTAGGAACAGACAATGACCAATTAACACTTAATAGGTAATAAGTGCAATCAAACCTCTAGACCAGTGGAGGCAAACCTTTTTCGGCTGAGTGCCCAAAATGAGGGGGTGGGGAAGAAACCAGTGGCTGCCGTGCCGCCTGGAAGACCAGAACCGGAGCAGGAAGTGGCAGTTTCAGGGGGAATCATGGGAACGGACAGGAAGTTAAAAGGGGAATCATGGGGACAGACAAGGAGTTAAAGGAGGAATCAGGGGGACGGACAGGAAGTTAAAGGGGGAATTATGGGGATGGACAGGAAGTTAAAGGACCCAGAACAGGAAGAGAAAGGGGGAATCCCAGCTGCAGCTACTTCGAAAGGTTTGTCGTATGCCAGAAAAAAGGGCTTCGCGTGCCAGCTGTAGCCCACATGCCATAGGTTCGCCATCACTGCTCTAGACGGTGGCCACTCTTGGTTTGGTTTTTTCCTTTCATTTTATCTTTGAGTTGCTTTGTTTCTTGTGAACGGATGTGCAGAATTTGGCTCGTCTGAATAGCCTCCTGATGAGGTCGAAGATAAATGAGTTAGAGGGGTTGTCTCTTTCCATGTGTGAGGTGGAGAGAGAGGTAACCATTATAACAGAAGCTCCCTGCTTGTGAATAACGAGTGGAGAGATTTACTCTTTGTGCACTTGCTGAAATGAAAAATCAGATCCCCATTCCCCCCCCCCCCCCGCAGATATACAGCAATGTTGTCAGTGTCATTGACAATGTCAGCACTTGAGAATTCCTTGTTACACTGGTTAATGCTTTGATTAAAAATCCCATGTGGTCAGAGTTCCTGGAGGTAGTAAAATCATTGTCCTTGGTGATATAACCAGCATTCTAGATAAGCAAGCTTACAAAAATGCCCTTTAACCCTGTAGAGAAGGAGAGGGATCCTCCTGAAGGAAGCATGGCCTTTACTCCCTGTGAATAAACCCATTGTTTGGAAATGGACCTGCTTTCTTAAACAGGGATTGTGAACATATTTACTTTGGTCCTTGCCTTGCCACTTCGGTTCTCTGGCCCCTTTCGGGGAAATGAAAGTACCTTAGCTGCCACAGCAGCCTCTTGACTGTTTCAAGGCAGTATCTGCCTCTGGCTTGTACAAAATGTCATCCAAGTTCATCTGCTGAAGCAAGCCGAGAGGCCTGGTTTCTGACTCTTTCCTAACATAAATATTTAATACAACTTTTGTGACTCCAAAAAGTTGCCAGATGGGACAAAGTAAGATGTTAAAATGTGACAGAGACCTGATGCTCCTTCTGCTGGGCGATGCTGATGATTATGTCATTAAATTTATAGAGTGCTGGTGGAAGGAAAGGAAGAAAAACTCACTCCACAGCATCCAGCTGATAGCATCAGCTTCCCGGGCGCTTGCTGCTTTAAATGTCTTCAGCTTGGTTTAGATTCTGGTCAATGAGTTGTTGCTATTTCAAGTTCATCTCCATGCAGACTTTCTAATTTAAATTAAAAACTTAAGGCAAAATAAGAAAGAAAATAGAGGACAAGAAAGAAAGAGGGAGCAGAGATAGAGATCCCTTTCTAGATTTTTCAAGGCATCTACTCTTGTAGGTATCACAAACTCGATCTCGTTATTCAATCCTTCATCAATTTAAAAACTGAAGATTTTTTTTTCATAAATTAAGGGACAACTAGGATATATCATATTTTAAACTCACATGCACTCTGTTCTCCCCCCCCCCCATTTTGGGTGACATAAATTCAGCTGCAACTTTTGGTTTTAAAGCAAAGGTTTTCTCTCTTTTGGGAGTCTTTTCTTGAGACGATCAATAACCATGATAATGTCATGAAGCAAATTTCAGAGGGAGACTGCAGAGAATCCCAGTCCCTTAGGGAAGGGGAGAAAACAGTAGCCAAAACTGTTCAGGTTGAAGATAATGCTTCCTACTTTCACTCGAAATGTCTGTTTAGAGAGGGGAGCCATACTGCAACCATTATCAGAGCTCTTGCTTGTGGGCTACGTGTTTTGTGGAAGGTGCCGAATTAAATGGAATTCCTCTTGTTGGCTATAAGGAAATGCAGTTGTTTGCCCCTATTCTGGGCAACTGCTGATGGAATATGCCACCTCAAAGTTTCAGTGTCTGTGAGAGTGACTTGACTGCTTCCTCAGAATATATCAGTGGTTTTTGAGGAAGTATCAAAGCATTCACAGTGATCTGTGGCAAACTTAAATCAGTTCTTTTCATTCCATTAAATTATGCCTTTTTGGCATCTCTTAGTTTGGGGGGTTTCCATTCCAGTATAACCTTCTGTTGAGTTTACCGACCCGCTGAACAAGGTTGAGGCACAAATCAACAATAAGCTTTTATTATTCAAATGGATTAATTTTCTGCTCTACGAAGAAAGCCAGTATTTATAGCCACAAAGGAGCATGGAGGAAAGGGTTGAATTAAGAAACATATTCAGTGCTGGGCCCATTAGCTACTTGATCATTCTGTGCCCCCCACCCCATTTTCCCTAGCGGGAGACCTGCATTGCCACAGTTGCTTATGATTAAAGTGAAGGCCACACCCCTTGGGCTGAAATGTTTTTAACAGGCTCCTTTCTGTATATAAAATAAGCCTTGATAGATGTTATTTGCAAACCATGAAAGGCAAAAGTTGGATCAGTGTTTTAGGGGTCGGGAGGAACGTTTGTTAAGACTGAATTCTTCTTCGAGTGCGTTAGGAAGTAAGGAGTGGAACAAAAGGGTACGATAAAGATCCCCCCCCCCAAGAAAACATAATACAAAATAATAAAATAGATTTTTGTGATACCTTCAAAATCTTAACCGAGTTACTAATTATACCATGATAACAAAGATTATTGTGATGCTATAAAAACTATTAGGAGTTATTTGGGATAAGCTTTCATCTTTAAGGTGCTGCATTTTTTTTTGCTTCTTTGTTTTTGCAACAAGGCAACCCATATTGGAAATTTTTACATGAATGTTGGTGGATTACAACCCACTTAAATATCTGAAAATGCAGGTATGTTCCTGCGAAGATAAATCTGCTGTTTTTAAAAGGTGCCCTAAGATGTGTTTATTTATTTGCAGAAGAGGTAGCCATGTTAGTCTATGCCAGCATTATAGGTAAAAATAAGATAATAGTAAAACAATATATAATAAAAAATAAAAGAACAATAAAAAAGACAAAAAGGTGATGGCAGCTTAAAGATGTTTATAATTTTTAACGTGAGCTTTTGTGGACAAGTCCACAGATTTATATATTTGTTTGTTTGTTTAGCTGAAAGAAAGCTAGAGGGCTGCTTCTGTGAAAACAGAGGCAGCAGTGCATTTGTGAAAGTTGTGTTGAAAGAAGGTCAAGCACAGCTGTTTTAGAAGTCTGCCGTGCATTGTGTTTTCCCCACTCTTTACTAATATAATCTTTTCCTAGCTGCAACACAGTAGAAGGTTCTGGCTTTCTCATTAAGACATTTGTATCTCAGTCACAAAAACCCACTGTGGGATTACACTTGGCCTGTATCTAAAGTCTTTGTCTGGGTGCGATTGTGGGGGGAAAAAGAAGAGAAAAGGTGAAAAAAATCCATCTGTTTTTCAAGTAGCAAATGGTGAAGTCTGTTTTTATTTTTTCCTTTTGTTTTAATGGTTGCTTTTCTGCACCAACGCTCGGAAATGTTCTCCTGCTTTCTAGAGCATCTCGAGAACTCTGTCTTTACCCTCTTATAGCACGATGTAGTTGGTCTTGATCCAGCAGTGCAAAGCAATCTGTAGCTAAGAGTTTGTGACTCTAAAAGCTATAGACAAAAGAGGATTCACAAGCAAATGATGAGTAAGCGGTTGTTGTAAATGGGCATGCCATTATTTTTATTCTGATTGCCTGGTATTTGGTGACTTATACCCTACCCTAGATGAGATTTTAAATACATGTCTCAGTTTTAGTACTTCAGAGGCTGGCTTGCTGTCATTTATTTTAGGTTATGTCCTGCCCTGTAGTACAGAAAACAAGTGTTACTGATTTGAATGTCATCTGTGGCGTTTAGGCCCCTTCTTAAAAGAGAAGGTAAAATATGGTTTGAAACGCATTCCTTTTTGAACAATATAGATATAATGACAATCATAATGTCCAGTAACACCATTGCTCCCTCCCAGGTGTAACAAGTTATGTTTTCTTATTACTTTTACTTTTTCTGACTACTTTTGAGGGGAGAGCAGAACTGGTTGGTGGGGGAAAACGCTTTGAGGCAGTCAAGAGTATCACTGCCTTCTGAGAGACCGTGGTGGGTCATTAGGGAAGCGTGCGGTGGCTGATGCCTTCCTTTTTGTGCCTTCTAGTTAACTGCCTGCGTCCATGGCTCTGCAGCGATGCTCTATCCAATGTTTTGGCAACATGTTTACATCCCCGTTCTTCCCCCACACCTCCTGGACTACTGCTGGTAAGTCTTATTGGCCCTTCTCTTTTTATTTCATAGGAACAAAACTCAGAGCCTTGGCATGGCCGTTTTGCATTGTGTGTGCATCTATACGTTGCACCACGAAGATACAGGACATCCGTTGCAGTCTGCCTTCGTTGGGAGGCCCTCTCCCAATAAGTGCACATCTCTAATCACTGGGTTTGGCTTCTTTCCCTTTCCCTTTTCTCCCCTGAGCATAGCAGGTTTTAACAAGACTTCTGTGAAGTGTATTTCAATCTCAGGTATATTCATTGCGAGGGTGGGGTAGGATGTCCCCCCTGTAAATGTTCTTTTCTTCTTTCAAGGGCGGTTGCTGCAGATTCCCCCATCATAAAGGGGAAAATGGGCATGCTTGATTCTGGCCAGAGTGCTCTGGCTGCTGTGATTGTTACCACTGCGGGTTGTGTCCAGGATCATTTGTGACAGGCATGTGGGGCTGGGGGTGGAAGTCGCCTCTAGCCGATTCAGGCTTCTGAGGGAAAAATGATTTGGAGCAAAATATAATGATGCTAGAGGACCTGGCTATTTTCCCCCTTGATTACAGTATCCCGTTGACAAAAATATTAGTTAGTTACATACATTTACTCAGTGGAGAATAAATAAAGGTTTCTTGCTCCCCTCCTCCTGCCTGCATTATTCAACATATAAAGCTTCAAGGTTTGGCAGCAACTAAAATTTACCAATAAACACCTGCCACATTTTTAAGAATAGCTTTTGAAGTGCACCTCTCTCGCCCCCCTCACCCCGCCCCACTTGCATTGGCAACATCCCTACAATTTGCCAGCTAGACTCATGCTGCTCCCATTTCTTTCGATCCTAGTTAGCTTTGTGTTGCTCCTTGTTCATTTCACACTAAGGAACTGAGCCACGGGGGCCGAAGTGGAGGGGTTTTACAAAGAGAAAGAACACTGGTTCCAAAGAGCACCTGGCCAACCTGGAAGCTGGCATCCCACCATGACTCTACATGGACCTCTGGGAGTTTGTAACCATAGTTGGGGTAGACAGGGAGAGGACCCATGTTTTTTGCTGTAGAAGTTGGAAGATGCTCATAGACATGATGGCAGGCAATGTTGCCTGGAGCATTTGACCATCCTAGAATACCACAGGAAAGGTGACTTTGCTTGCAGCCAACTTAGATCCTTATCCCGTTGCCCTAGTCTGCATGGGACGATAAAATGGCAAAGCTATTACATCCTCTCTGCTAGGCAAATGACATGTCCGTCACCCCCTTAAGCATTCACTATGATCTGATGTTTTTTTCTCCGACAGCTCTCATGTCCAACTTTTAGAACTCTTATCTCTATTTTTTCTCATAAGCAAAAGATTCATAGCACAGTAAAACAAAGTAATTTTTTTACAGCTCATTAGCTGTTCAACTTTCACTGGTGTTCTTCCGAGCGAAAATGAAAGTGCATTCCCCAGATAAGCAGCCAGGCTTTTACAGTTTAAAAAGAACTTCTATCTCTGCTTGAACTTTTCACAAAGAATTTAAGCAGATTTATTCACATTTCAAGAAGGGGGGGGGAAAAGGCATTTAGCAACTTATTTACATTCAGCAGGGCGAGGAGAGGAAGACTCCGCTGTGCATCCTGTCCTGGCGGAAGTGACATCTCATGCCTTATGTTTGTAACCTTAAAGAAGCATTATTTGGTGCCATGATTTGATTTTTATGACAAATACATTTCTCTCTCTCTCTCTCTCTCTCTCTCTCTCTCTCTTTTTTAAGAACAATATTTGGACAATGAGATACCATGTTTCCCCAAAATTAAGACAGGGTCATATTATTTTTTGCTCCAAAAACACCTTAGGGCTTATTTTCAGGGGATGTTTTATTTTACAGTCATGTCATCTTCTGGTTGCTGCACAGTGGTGGAGGACGGAGTTTCATTTAACTAGGTCTTATTTTGGGGGTAGGGCTTATATTATGAGCATCCTGAAAAATCATACTAGGGCTTATTTTCAGGTTAGGTCTTATTTTGGGGGAAATAGGGTAGTACAGTAGTAGGAAAAATCCCACATATGTAAATTTCATCCCTCTACTCCACTATTTTTCTTTTTTTAAAGGGCAAAATGCACGGTCATTTGAGCAGAAATTTCACAGTGGACAGGGAGATGAAATAACCTAACCAGATACTAACTTCATCCCCTTAAATAAAGCTCCGTGGCTTCTGTCATTATCCACAAATGCCACTAAATTGGCATCTGGCAGATAACTTCATTATCTGGTTTGTGCTTCTAAAGGAAAAGGGAAAGGTGTTTGGAGGTGGGGGTGAGGGACAGACGGGAGCTCTCCCGTGCTTTTCTGAGTAAGAAAGCAGCAGGGATAACTAGCATTCTAAGTGAAGTGCCAGGAGCCTGAAACATGTAAATTTCAAGGAGGTTTGTTCCTCTGCGGATGATTTAAATGTTAAGTACATCCCCGTGTGGAAGAGACACGGAGCGGAATCTAAAAACTATTATCTCCCAGAGAAACGAACGCTCCGTTTCACTCGCTGAGCAGGAAGGACTGTTTCCCAGTCATTTGCACCACCCGCAGGTGCCCTTTCCTTGCATAATGGGCTTGTGCGTTCATAATTAACACATGGGAGAGAGGCTGCCATTGCCAGTTCTTGCCTTCAGGTGCTTGCTGCCAGCAGTTGTCAGGACAGTGGGGTGTATGTGCATGCGTACGTGCATGCTCTGTGTTTGTATGCGTGTATATGTGAGCACGCGCCACACGGGGTCTGTGATGGTGGGACAGAAGATCAGGGCCATACTGGCTTCCCAACAAAGGTGCATTAAAGTGTGTGCGGGCTAAGCGGAGGCACATTCGCCAGTGATGGAGCTGGCCGCTTGTGAGTACCCTCTGCTTTTGGGAAGAGGGAAGTGGTGTGGACGAGAAATGAGTGAACCTGCCGAGCAAGCTAGAAACACGGCGAGAAATGCCCTGTAATTACTAGGAAGAATCTAATTGCACTTTTGCAAACACAACTGATTAACGTAGGCTGATGCGAACTTTAATTAGAGTGGTAATTGCACACTATACTTGTCTGAATTAAATCAATTTAGCACTAATTTGTGTGCCATAAATACATTTCCCCATCCCATCTCAAAATAGCTTTGTCTGTTTTTTTTTTTTAATGGTGTGAACATTGAAAAGGTACTCGTGGCCACAAAATGATGATGCATACACCACTTCCTGTCTGCCATCCCATCCTCCTCCTTAGCTCGGCTTCGTGGGATGGGGTGGGAAGAAATTCTGTTCTAGAATCCTTTTTCTTTCCTTCTCCCTTGCCTTTGAGTTGGGTTTCAGTTTTAAACCTTTGGTTGGTGCTCGGTTGTTTTCTTTGCAGCTGTGACATCAGAAAGAAAAGAGCAAAAACCGAAGCAGATGGTGATGGTGTTGGGAATTAAAAACTAAGTGCTTGCAAGTCTCCTAGCTAGACTTTTGCTACTTTCACCAGCTTTTATTTATACAGATGCCACCAGTCATTTGTTCTTGTGATCCTTTTGAGATTAATTTGAGACATATTTGAGGCATCCTTCCCATACTTCATATTGAGTGGATATTTGGCCGATTTGAGGCATACCACAGCTTCCTGGTTTGGGAAAAACAGTAAACAGTTACTGTATTTGCTTTAAAATGGGAAGGTCTTTTTGTGGGTTTTGATAATACTCTTCCTTCTTAATAAGGCTAGAGATAACACTTCTCTTTTCCTGAGTGGCAATCAACTTAATGTCAGTTTTTAGAATTACTTTTCACCTCAAACATGACTATTTTCACTTTGTTGAATTTGAGCTTAATTTCACCTGCCATTTTTCCAATTACAAGCTGCCTTCCTCTAGGGAGAGTAGTTAAAGAGGTCTCTAGTTAGCCAGAGGAAAAGAATTAAACTAATTTTTAAAATGTGGTTTTAATGAGTGGACCATTATGTTGCCAAACCCTCGGTATCCATATTCACGTTTACCCACTCCTTAGGTTCTTCAACACTGAAGCAGCATTCTGCCATTACTATGTTCTCATTGAGAGGTGATAGAATGAAGGATATTAGTGTCTTCTTGCTCTTTTTCCCCGAGTCCCAAGCAGTGTGTTTGCTTACACACTGTGTGTGCATGTGTTTTGCAGACGTAGTGCTTTTTACTCTTAGCCCTGAATGGGTTTTGGCTGCTGCTGAAGAACCTGGTATTTAAATTGAGGTCCTCACTTCCTACAAGAAGCTCTGATGCGGACGGTAGGTAGGAGAAATTGGCAGCCTCCAAATGTCACAGGCCTGCCTTGTGTGACACTGGAGTGAAGTTCTGTACCTCCTCAATCCCAAAATGTGGACTTCACAAGAGAGTAGAGGATGGCTTCCCTTGTATCGCCCTGCTGTGTGCCATAAAGCATTTAACTTTGGTTAGACCAACTATCTGTCCATTACTACCTAGGAACCATTTCCAAGAATAGCCAGAGAGTTTTGTTCTGCCATACGATGAACTATCAAAAAAACTCTGTGGCCCTTTCAAGACCTAATATTTTTTACTACAGCATAATGTTTCATGGGCTAAAGTCCACAAAACTCTATGCCATAAAAACCTGATTAATTTTTAAGATGCCAGATGCTTCCTGTTTTTAAACACAAAATGTGTCTCTTCCTTTAGTCACTTTCACATGTTGGGCATTCTGAGAACGTATGTTGATTCCAGGAGACACCCCACGCTGGGGCAAAAGGTGTAGCTGCTTTCACACATCTCGTGTTTTGCAACACGTCTCGTGACATGTTCACACATCCCGGGAGTGCATTCTCCATTGAATATTTCAGGGTTCAAAGTGATATTAAAATCCAGTTTGTGGCTTTTATTTTGTGATGGTCTGTTCATGCCCAGGAGCCACTGCTTGATGCTCCCATTGTGAGTAGGTCGACATTAATGTGAGAACATGGAAATGATGTTCTAATTTAGAAGCCACAGAATATTAAAGTTGAGAAAGTTCTCTATGAGTCCCAGTTTGTTTTGTGCATTTTAGGTGTTTGCGACGCTATTAAATATTTTTTGGGCCCCATGGCATCCCTTGATTAATAGAAGAAGATTGACAGATCGACACAAAGTGGTTAATTAAGTTTTACAGATTTGACTTTCCTCCTACCTCCTAGTGGCAAGCTGTTCTTCTGGATGCCACAGCAAAAGACCAGTTTTATGGAATAGTCAAGGCTTCCTGCTCTTTTTTCATTATGCTTTCCGAGGGTTCATGAGATGAGACGTTTGCAGCCTGAAGACTTCCTGCCGAGTCTTAGACTTTGTATTCTTGACATTGAAGCTGTCATTTTTGCCTGAATCTACTTAATTAGGAACACATTCGGCTCCATGTCTGCTTCTGGAGGAGGGCTGGCAACCCAGCCAGACGCTTGCCCAGGGAAGCCCGGAGTTTTGTGCAGCTAAACAAATGGCTTACAGCTTTGAGTTTAGAAGGGTCTGGCTTGCAACATGGCGTGTTTAGAGGTGCTGTCTAGTTCTGATCATTAAAGCATTAGGGAAAAGGCAAACAAAAATATCCTAGGGTACGAAAGAGATTCTGTGTAGCCATTGACAGCAGGTGGCTGCTTGTGTGCTTTCCTCAACCTGCACTCCTAGTGACTCAACATGCACTTCAGGGCTTTACAGAGGAATGTGGGGGCTGTTTTCTTTCATGCAAACTTTGGTGGCAGCTAAAATTCCCTGTGCCAAGGGATGACCAAACCAAGATCCCATTATGTCATGCCCAAAGGAAGGTGGCCCAGATAGCCTGCAGGTGGAGGGCCTTCTTTAAAACAGCATTTTCCAAAGGAGAGATCTTACATTTGCATTGAATGGAGGAATTGTTTTTTTTTTCCTCTCCTTTACTTAGCTAGATCTCCAAGGTTTCTGGATAGGTTGTGGCACAGGAGTGCTCCTTTTTTCACAAGGCTTGGACCAAAGATTTTTCTTTCAGTTCTCCTCGTCTTCTTTTCATTGTCTCCTTGATGTAATATGCCTGAAGCCATTGGAATACAGGAAGGAAAGGGAAAGCCCATGCAATAACTTGAGCATAATTTGTAAAAACGTGCCATGTTAAACCAGCTCTTTCTGTTTTATTGCAGTGCTCCAATGCCCTACCTCATAGGAATACATTTAAGCCTAATGGAGGTAAGTTCCCATTGTTTCTGGCATGGTGGGATTGGTTCACAGGACCTCACACTTTTGATTTAGAAGACTGGCCTAGAAAAAAGCTTTTGTGTTTGGTTCTCTACGCTTTGGAGCTGATTGAGCATGGTTCTCCTGCCCTTCCTTTTAGAGTTTGTGAGAAAGCAAGTCATGGTTGATAATGGGAAGCTGCCTCCAGTCTAAATACTAGTGGGATGCATCACTAGTTAAATGCCCTGTCTATTCAACAGCGTGGAACTAAAATCTAGAAACGCCATGCCAGCTCCACAACACCCCCTTCCCCAGTTGCATCTACTCTGGTTCACCGTACTCACAATGTGATTCTTTCCTCCCCCACTTTCAGTGATGGAAATCATCTCTTCTAAGCTGTATTTGTGAGTCACTACGAATGCATATAAACTCCACACTTCTCTTTTAGCCTATAGTTCCCTCACCCCATGTTTTAGCTAAGGGTACTTAGATATATGCTTTTCCAGTTCCAGTATGCACAAACATACATGCTAGATACATACCCCACTGTAGTAAAGCTAGAAAGTGGGAGCTGCAGTCTACCCTGTTCAGTTTGTGTGTGTGTGTGTGTGTGTTGAATTCCTAACGGCTCTTGCTGTCACATGCAGTCAAGTCACTTCCAAGTTACGGTGACCGACATATTGTACCTTTTGGTTAATAAATCATGGGATCAAAATGTTGCATCGGACTCCAGCGCAGCCTGCTTACTGAAACTTTTCTAGAGTTTGCTGTTTTGGCATCAGTTTTTCTGAAGGGATCTTCATTTCAATGTCTTTTTCAAAAATCTTGCTCTTCATTCATAGAGCTCAGAAGCATATTTCTGATGTTGCTTTAAAAATGGAACTACTGTATTTTTCTGTTTATAAGACGTCCCCATTTATAAGACACCCCCCCCCTTTTATAACCCAAAAACTTAGCTTTGAGGATTCAGCCTCTGGGCTTAGAATGCTCGGACATTAGGAGTCCCTGTTGAATCTGAGCACTGCCTACAGGCTCCACCTCCAACGAGGTGTTCCAATCGATTTGTTCAGGATCAGCTAATGTCAGTTCCGTAAAGCTTGTAATTGGAGGAAGCTAAGTCTCCTGATGGGAGGCAGCCTGTTTGCAGAGGCAAGGTATGGGCCATTTTGTTCTCTCCATGTTCTCAGTTTACTTCTGTGTAAAAGACACCCCTCGATTTTTAGTGTAATGATTTTAGGAAAAAGTAGCGTCTTATAAACAGAAAAATACAGTACTTAAATTAAATATCAAAACCATATCTGTGCTGCTCTTTTAGTCCTGAGCATGTAGCATTTTGCCACACATGAAGTTAAAAATTCTGCTGTGTGGGATTTTTAATTTGGGACTTAACAGTGGCCACCAAGATTTCCTTTAAAAAGTTGACTGGCAAGGCAAGTTGACTGATTGAACATCCATACTGCCTGGGCAATATGTTCCCAACACTAGGGTGTATCACAGATCATAGGGTGATCCGTTTCGAACAAAGGGGCTCCAGTCCCAGTTCAAGCTGTGTATATTAAATGGTGGAATATATCTCTGTAGCAGAGTCCATGCCTTGTCTGTAGGAGATCTCACATTCAGTCCCTGACATCTCAATTTAAAAAAATCAGGAAACATATGATGGGGAAGATCTGAGATTCAACTGGAGCTGGATGTGCTGGCTAGATAGTTTGATCTGGTGCAAGGCAGTTTTCTCAGTTCAGTAGCCATCATAGCTTTCTATGGTAATATAGGTCAGTAAAGTGTTATGTTTGGTCTGATTTTTCAGAAGAATTCTAATCATCTAGTAGAGAGAGTTCCTCTATCACCACACTCTCATTGCAGTTGACTATTTTAATCTAGTATTGCCTATTTCCCCCCTCCCTTAATTTAAAAGGCTCATGCACAGTTCTATTTATATGTTTATCTTGCTCATAGATATTTTTTCCTCCTGTCCTTTTCCATTTCTTCTTGAAAAGAACACAGAGAGAATTCCTTGGCTCACTTTTTTTGTACATCCTTTTGCTATTTCCTGCTGTCTGTATTTCCATCAGTCTTGTAAATAGGTAGGCTTTGGTTTGCTTTAAAAAATGTGTGGAACGACAGCAGGAGTAGTGGTTGTTTAATGCAAATAGAAACCGTATATTTTGAGGGTTAAAATATCAAACATATCCATAGGTTGTTACATCTAATTTGCTGTGACTAGAAGGCTCTCCAGTGAGATAAAGTAATCTCTGTTTTTTTCCCCGGTCTGAGGGCCTGTTTCTGATTTATGACACACACACACACACACATATAACCCTCTTCATTCCCCCAGAGGAGATTCTGTGGAGCTTTGCATAAGTCCTTATTTTGCAGGATTTCTATCATCACCTAGTCAGTCATTCCATATAAGACTCTTGTTTAGCCATCCGTAAAGCAACTTCAAAGGAGGAGGGAAGTTTATAAGCTGAAGCATAAGCAAGGTTGGGCTCTGTTGCATGAATAATGGAACACTCTTTACATCACTAATTGAATTCATATTAGGGAAGAATAAGTGTTTAGCGCTGATAAATCGTCAGTAGATAAGATAATCATCTCAGTATGAATTGCCCACTTGCAGTTTTCGTTGGCTGGAAATGGAACATTTAAACATTCGTGGTGTTGGTCTTGGAGCAATACCCAGTGTAGCTGGCACAGTATCTCGACCTCAGCCTGCGAGGTGTTTGCTCAGCAGCCATTTTTAACGAGATTGTTTTTCTTGCCCTTCCATGAAGGTGCTCAGAGGAGCATTCATAGGTATCTCTTGTGGTTCTCCATCTAAAACTATACCTAGCAATCGTCATAGGTGGAGCTGTTTCAGTTATCTTCAGGTTCCACGTGGTCCTGATGGAGAGATTGACCAACTTGATATAGTTCTAAGAATATAGTTAAAATATAGTTAAAAACAAAAGCAAACATAAGAGCTACCCACATTGGATGTAACAAATCAAAAAAATTAAAACCATGACATGAAGCTACAAGATCATAATTAAAGCATTAGAAACCGCTATAGAGAGCAGGAAAGCCATATAACAATTGTACAGAGCCATGCCAGCTTTTTCTACCATTTCCTGGAATTGGCTGTAGTCAGAGATTGCCTTGGTTCGTGCTTGGTGTGGAGAACATCTTGGAATGAACTGCCAGCATTTTTTCCCCACCTGTTATTAAGTTCCTTTCTTTAAGAAGAGCCTATTTGTACAGCTCCCGGTGGTCAGACAAGCAGTACTTGGATTATATGAACCCGGCATCTGGCCCTGTGTAAGACAACTTAATATAGTGCTATATACACATTACAGTATTTCACAGTGAAATATGTTTTAGATATAATAAGCACAGTGACGTGAAGGCCCTGAAAAAAAGCAGAATATGGGGGAGGGGGAGCCCTTTCTTCTAATTTTCAAGAAAAATCACAATTTCCAAGGACACATGTTCAGTCTGCCAGTCAAAAACTTGGAAACCCTGAGGAACCTAGGCAAAAAAAAATTCTAATGAATTATTTCTTCTCTTGGAATGAATGAAATGTTTTTTTAAGACAAGGTTTTACTCACTCCAAATGTGAGACATTGCATAGTGTGCTAATTAAGTTATGAAGGAAGCATTTTATGTTGCTAGAGCAGTAAAATGGGTTTGGGTTTGATGCAGAACTAAGTACTGCACGGACTTCAGTATCCCCAAATTTCTACCCCCACGTCTTTTAAAAAAAAAAACCTGGCAGAATAACAGAGCTTTCCCGAATTCCTGGAAGCTGCACACTTTTAGGCGACTGGTAGAAAAAGTGATGAATAAAGACATATCCTGTTAAAAGCGCATCATGAGTAGCACTGTTGGGCTTATTGTAATGAGAAGGAGCCAGTGAATGGGAGCAGACACTTCTTTTTATGAGGGTTTTCTGTGTCTTGATGGAGCCTTGACAGTTCGAGCAGCGGAAGGAGACCCTCCTGCCGCCACCTTTTCCGCTCTTGCCTTGGAGCCCTTTGGTGCGAGAGAGAAGGTTGCCATTCTGTTAGTGAAGAGCAGCTGCCAGCGATAAGGTTTTCGGGGGCATCACCTGTATGAGGATGAGGGGGTTGGGCAGGCGGGCTTCTGTACATCAAGGTTAGCTGACTGGCGGAAGAGGGGGAAGAAGCGCAGGAGGGGGTCAGAGGCCACCTGCTGGGCGTGGATCAAAGGGTTCATAGGTCAGAGGGCACTTGGAGCCTAACCATATCAGTCTGTGGAGCTTGCTATTTCAGATTGTAAATCTGAAGGCAGATTTTAATTAAGGCCCCTTTGGTGCTGCGTTAGGCTGACAAATAATAAAAATAAGATCTCTGCCCTTGGCTCCCTCCACACCGACAGCTACCCCTCCATTTCTCTTGCATCCCACGATGGGAGCTTGGCTCTGCAGTGCGGATATCATCGGTCCTCTTTAAATAAGCCACCATTGTACCCTTTGCGGTGAGGCGGATGTGCTCCCCTTTTTCATGGTGGTTGTAAAAATAGAAGCAGACTCTTGCAAGGAACCCGCCGTTGGTGGGCAGTCTGGCATAGCTACCCAGCAGTTCTCTTTGCCCATCTTCTGCATTTTCTTATCATACCCTCTGGGCTCTCTGTCAGTAAAGAGGGTGGCGAGTTTTCAGAAGCATATTAACCCAAGCTTCAATTAATTAATCATTGGATACCTGTTTCTGTTAGGGAGGCACCTTTTCATCTGTGGAGCTGTAAGTTACAGGGGTGCTCAGTTTATGAATATTTTTTAGACTCTTTTTGATTTTCAGATGACAAAGGAGATGCCTAAGTTAATGTTTGCATATTTACTTTTAGCTTAATCAGGGGATTAAGAGTCTTTATCAAGGGCTGTGTTAGAAGAGTCAGGATAGGTTTATTTACAGCATTGACACCAACTATTACTCTGCAATGAATCTGGTAGGCTGCACGGCCAGGAATGCCAACTGCAAACTTATTTATTTAGTGCTCCGAGTGCATGCAGCAATTTGGATTGCAGCCAGGTTTCCATAACCTGAGCCACATCAGCTGAACTGGGCCTTCTTTTTCTCAATAAACAGTTATATTCTTTGGCTTTAAGAGGTAATTCTTTAACTTCTTAAAGTGCTCGTAACAATGGGTGCTGAGTAGGAATGGAGGCTGCGAGTTTCTAAAGGTAAAAAGTCTGGAAGGTACTCAGGTTGCAGAGACACAGGTGTTGCTTGAACTCCTTGCAGCTTGTCCGGTGCAAAATGAGGCGATCTCTTTGAGCTTTTGTGAGGTTTTATCGTGAGTGTGAAACCTCACCGTGTTTTGCCAGTGAAGCCAAGTGCTCGAGTGGGTCTGTTGCTCAGGAATGTGACGACACAGAGCACCTGCTGATTGTTTACAGCCATCGTTTAAGACTCCCTGCTGGAGTTTGTTTAAGAAGTGAGGAGATTTTTTCACAAGGCAAGGTGCTGTTTCTAAATTTTAAAATGTGTTTTTCCAGGAACTATTACTTAAGTTGGTAAATTCTGTAGCAAGCCACATTTTTATGGGAGACCGTAAACCATGGATTTGAAGCTCTAGTTAAACTGAGCTTTCCATACATGACATTCCTCTGCTTCTAGATAAAAAGCGCTGGACATAAAGGGTAGGTACAGTTGTGCAGGTAACTCAGATGTTATTCTGACAGAGTTAGCTTTGGTCTGTCAGAGTCCCAGTGATAAGTGATGGAAGCTCACTGGCAGAGCACATCCTTTGCATGCTGAAGGTCCCAGTCTTTCAGTAGGGTATGAAAGAATCCAGCTCAAAAACATGGGGAAGCTGTGGCTGCAAGTCAGATTTGGCAATCCCAGGCTAGATGGGCTGTGACTCGGTATAGGACTAATTCATGTGTCCCAGCGTCGGCTTAGGACATGACATATGTTATTTGCCACTGCTTGGATGCCTCCTAAATTTGGACTTCCTTCTAACGTGAGCAGCTGAGGAGTTTTCGGCTGCAGGATTCCCAGTGTCGGCTCTGTTTTGTGATAGAAATTTTTCTTCTTGCCGCACCAGATTCTGTGGGAACCAAGCTTGCTTCAGCTGGCAAGATGGAAAGGAAGCCTCTGTCCAGCCTATTGATCCCTTTTGACCAAACTTCTGGCTTCAGTTAAGCTATTACCTGAAGAATACCCTCCCCCCTCCCAAAAAAGGGGAGGGATACTTTTGAAGACTCCTTTGGGTGTAACTGAGATTTGGAATGGGATGTGTGTTAATTTTTGAAAAGAGGAAGGAGCTTGGCAGCGGCTGTGCTGCTTCCTGGCTCCCCAAAGAAACCAAACTCCTCAGCTCTCTTTAGGACTATCAGATGCACACCAGGCAAAAGACCTTTGATTTCCTTAATGTCAGAAAGTGTGGGAATGGGAATCTTTCCTGCTCATCAGATGGCAGCCATAAGACAAAGTTTTGAACTGGGAAGAAAAAGGCTTAAAACCATCCCATTTATGGTCAGCAAGTGTGAAAAAGATTGGTTGAAATTTGCCTGCTCATAGATACTGGTCGCAGCAGTCTTCAGTCTTTTATAACATTTATCCCACTACTCATTGTGTGAACAAATCTGAGTCCCCCCCCCATGACAGAATCAAGCCACCTTCTTCTAGAAAGGGTAATTGTAATTGCAGATACTTTGTTCCTATATTTTTCATACGGATAATTGCAGTAGCATTGTCGACTAAACACAGAGGAACAAAAATAATGCTTTTTTTTTAGTAATGAAAACTGTAATAATAGTGTGGTTATTGTTACCAAAGCCCTTGCACATTGCCTAGACTACTTCTGCATTTCTGTGATTGTATGTGTGCTGTTCATTGAGAACCACTAAACCAGATAATGTTAAAGCAGCAATAACCAGGACCTGCAATTCCAGGAGCATCATCTGCTTAGTTAACTTTCAGAAAAGACGACAGATGCAGCCGTTCCTCTCTCTTTTTTTGTGAAATAATTTACCTTTCTGGTTTTGTACAAATTAAGACCTATTTTGGGCAGTTGGCATTTCAACAACACTTGACCTTTGAAGATCTGTGTCTTCTACATGAGGTTCAGAGAAAATACTGAGTATTAAATTCTTGTATTGTATTGAGGCACCACCTTGAACTTTCCAAAGAGATAGCTATGTTATTTGTTTCAGTGTGTATACTAAAAGGCAAACAGAATGAAGTTTTGTTCCACCCTCAGAATTTAGGATGAACTTCTGTGGATTGCAGTCCCCTTCGTCAGATGCATCTTGAACTTGTAGTCCAGCAAGAGAAAGTGACAAAGCCTTTTAGACATGCCCAACTGGCCAGAAGCTTCTCTCACTACCCAGATGTCCCAGGCCACTGCTGTATGGTTATTGCATTGTGGGTTGTTTATCATTTCCAGGAGCAGTGAGAGGGGTTGTGGGCTAATCTCTCATTCTCCCAAATTATTAGCCCATCTTTAAGCCAAGACACTGATATTTAGGTGGACGCACTTACACTTTGAGAACTGCAAAATAAAATGTGAAGATAGTCACTAGGTGGGAAAGAGGAATCTTGTTTTGTCTTTACAGTTGTCCAGATCTGAGTAACACATGGAGACTAACATGTTTCAGTTTCAGACAGTGACATTTCCCTTTCCTTCTAATTTTGTTTCCAGAAGGTTAGAAGTATGGCCCTGGAAGATGTTGTCATTCTTAATGTTGACACGAATACACTGGAAACACCTTTTGATGATCTTCAGAGTTTGCCAAACGATGTGGTGAGTATAATTGTTGTGTCTTGCTGGCTGTGTCTGACCTTAGCTTTACAGTGAACATCTCGTTCCTCCAGTCTTTCAAGATTCTTGTAATAGTTCAGAAATTCCAAGTTGGAAAGTATCAGTTTTGGTTAAAGTTGGAAGAGCTTTGGGTGTTGAGGTGATTTGAAATAATTATTCAGCCTTATATGGAGGATCCCACAACATGATGCTAAGTTCTAAAATGTATTGTTGTAGCCTAGATATTTTTTTAAATATCAGTTAGCACTGGAAAGGGCACCAGAGTGAACCATCAGCTGGGTTCTGCATTTCTGACAAAGCTGCTGCTTGGACATTCTTAAACAATGTTTTCTATCCTGGTAGCAAGTCTGCAAAATGTTAGAATGGTGATGTACTCCATGGCTGAGTAGGGATTTGAACATTCATTCATTCATTTATTCATTCATTCATTCATTCATTCATTTCCTGCCTTTTCACTCATAGTAGCTCACAATATATCAAATAGTAATACATATTACAATAAAAAAGATACAATCACAAATAGCCATAAATACATGATGAAATATCAGACCATTCAGCACTGAATAGAATACTAGTAAACCATCTTAACCGAGCAACTTAAATTAAACAGGAGAGTGTAAGGTCTACCATAAATCTAAATCTAATACGCTGCAGAGAAGTCCAAACTGATCACTATTCTACACCAAGGCAAATTGATGCTCTCCACAGTTTTCCTGGAAACTTTGGGTAGGCAGCCCTACCTATCACATGCATCTCTCTGGTCGAAACCAGCTCTTCAGCTGCTGAAACGCACCTGTTAGGTCATCAGTGCCTTGGGAGGAAGCTACAAGAGGCAGCAAGAGTTCATGGCAGCTCCTGACTTTTCATTAGCCCTTTGGTTCAGTGAAACTCCAGCACAATGCCTCTAGCTCGTTTTTGCCTGTTTCCTTCTGTACAGTGAAGGTATAGATGACTGTTCCCCTCCTCTCTAGGATTTTTTTGCAGCCTTGGAAAAGAACACGTTTGAGAAAACCATGGGATGTGAAAAGAGTCTGGATCTAGGGTCCCAGGCCCTTACAGACAGGGGGTCTGATTTGTCAATAATCGAGCATAATATTTGACTTTATGGGCCATCATGAAAAGGAGCCATTGTGAGAGCACAGTGGAACATCAGAAGAGGCGTTGCCAAATAAACCCGTAACTTAAAGCTTTTGGAATGTCATAAACTTTAAGAGACTTCCTTCCGTTCATTATTCCCTTTTATAACAGAAGAGAGCTAAATTTCACCAGTTAAAACGTTCCAATACGATTTTCCATTGGCCTGCTTAAAGGCTGCGTCTTTATTATTTTTGTTGTTATTCTTATTCTGACCATTTTGAGAGGTGTTTGGACCATTGCAGGGGAAGTACTGGCAGCAATCTCAATTAACCAGCTTAACTTGCAGCAAAAGTAAATAGAGCTTTGGGTGTTCTCCTCCCCTGTTCTTAATGGTATCTGTTATATGAGGGTTGAGGGGCATTTTAAGTAGCATCTTTTCGCTTCTGTCTTGCAATTGTCCTCTCTGCGCTTCAGTTACTATAGGTATCCGGATAACAAAACCTTCTGTGGCGGTGAAAAGCTGTTCTCCATTATAGCTTTGACCACTAGAGAGCAGACACCCTGCTTCTTCTTGTGATTGTATTGCTGTCAATTTTTAAAAAAAATAGTTTGTGCATTTTAAAAATTTGACATAGATCACACGGCTCCTGGCTGAATATATTTAAGGCCTATCTTTTATACTGCTTTTTCCTGTCCGGAAGGGTGGAGCCCCAGCAAGCCTGCATGAATGAATATAGACCTGGGTATAGGAACTCATCCATATATACAAAGCTTCCCTAGGAGCAAGTCCAAATCAAGATTAAGCATGTTCTTGGATAACAGAAACACTGACAGTTTCAACACTTGCCATTTGAACAAATTCTGCTAGACGTTGGCAGAATGTGTGTTGTCTAGTTTTTGAGCGAGGTGGATTTGATGCTTGCTTAGACGGGCACCTGCTTTTATCTCCTGACATAGTGGTAAGATAGGAAGGAATATTGAAATATAGGAAGCTGCCTCATATTGGGTTTAGGTCTTCCAGTCCATTGCAGTCAACTTGAACTGGCAGCTATGACTCTCCAGACAGAATTCTTCCTGGCCCTACCCAGAGATTCCTGGTTGTTCCTGGTTGTCTCCTGTCCACATCTGACCCTGCTTGGCTTCCAAAATTAGACGAGAGTAGATGTGCACAAGGTGCTGTGGCAGTGGAAGTGCCCGAGACATTTACACTAATCCTGAAGAAGCCCCACCTCTGTCCTTCCTCAGTCTGGACTCTAAGGCGGGACCACTATTTAAGCCATCTGGAAGAAGTGGAGTCAACACCTCCCTGCTCCCCTGGCCTTGGGTTTCATCCTGCTCAAGTGAGGAATGAGAATCCACAGCTTTGTCCCCCTCTCTGCACGTACAGGTTCTCTCATTCACCTCTCCTTTAAACTCCTGGCAGATGATGTGGTTGGAGGAGATTCAGCAACATAGAAATGGTACTGGCCTTGTGCTCTAAAGTTGGGCCCGATGACTCAGTGGGGCTGTTCTGAAGGGGCTGTTCCACTCCAGACATCAGGGAAGACCGGAGAAGTGTCTCAGTGGGGCTGTTCTGAAGGGGCTGTTCTACTCCATACGTCAGTGGGGCTGTTCCACTCCAGACGTCAGGGAAGACCGGAGAAGTGCCATGGGTCCAAGGACACCTTCACTTTCCTGTGCTATTCTTATCTTCAGAATCAACCCCTTTCCCTAATCTGAAGACGCATGTCTCCTCTGTCGTGTCTCCTCATGTCAACTCAAGCAAACTTCAGCATTGTTCCTTAAGACTGAATTCTTTAAAGCTGAGTTGCTCATGATTCAAAGGATTTTAAAACTTTATTTCTTATTATTACTTGTGTTTGAGGATGAGATAGGCCGTTGCCAAGGCAGGCATGAAATACTCTCTCTTTATGGTTTAAAGTTTTTGTTAAACTGTTCCCAGAATAATGCTTTTTTGTACTTCAGTATTTTCTTTATGCCAGTTATCTAAAGAGGTGACTGGGTTGTGAAATGTATTTAATTTTTTTAAAAAATGATCCCACCTTTCAGTTGAAACAACTTCAAAGGCAGCTGACCTTTCCTGGCCTTATCTGGCCGATCTTTCCTAGCCCTAAACTCAACCATTCTGTTGCTTACATAAGTTGGCATAAACTTGTAGGAATGAATTGGCACAAGTGAAGAAGTTACCACAACTGTTTTTAACCACACACCAAGTTACACGACAGTACATGGCAAAGCTACGAGTAATTCCTGTTTTTTTCCTTCGACATGTCTTTCAGAAATGGATGGCATCTTACCAGTTTTGGGCATGGCAGGGGAGACTTTTGGGGGTGGGGGAGAAAGTGAGATTTGAGCAAATTTCTACGACAGTGTTTCAGCACATCCGTATTTTTCAGGGAACAAACCTTGCAAAGGTCTAATTGGCTGGTGATTATTTTACACTGTCAGTGAGGCATCCGTTCTGTTCCTGTTGGTTTGCATGGGCTTAGGAGAAGATCATACACAACGTGAATATTTGCTTTTGCATGTCATTGGGATTTAAACTCTGAGTGTGGGTCACATGGACATAAAGCTTGTATTTTCTTGATTGTAATCCTCCCCCAACGAGCTTTTCCTTTTCCCTCAGGAAAGCTTGCATTTAAAGGTGTTGTTGTTCTTCCTGGATATTGTGTTTTTCAAGAAAATGTGTTTTTCTGGCTTTATTCATGTTGACAACTAGAAAGCCTTGGATCTAATTAAAAGAATTTTCACTCGCACCTCTACTGAACCATTTCATTATGCTCACTGCACAGATTGCATTTTGAAACATGGTGATAGCTTAAATCTGACCTTTAATCCTGAGCTGCCAAGAGCATAAAAAATCTTCCTTAAAAACACTACCAGGATTGGCTCTACATTTCTAAGTTGCCTGCTTTGGTAAGAAACTAGCCTCTCTGTGGAGTGGCTACTGTCCAGAGTTGGAAAATACGTTGCTGTCACTTAAGTATCGTGTGCCTTTTTGAACTTCTGTGTGACTTTCCCTCATATTTGGGAAATGAAAGCCTTTTAGCATTTGCCTGTTGCTTCTTGGCAGAAGAGCTTGAAACCAAGAGCTAAGCTCCAGAACCCGAATTCATTTCTGGAGTGTGTGAAGTGGCAGGGAAGGAAGCATTGTCTCTGATCGTATGCAGTGTGTCTCACACTCATTGCAGAACTGGTTAACAACCTCTGCCTATGGGTAGTTCAGGTGGGTGAACTACCCATCTCTTTCTGTATATGGAGCCCTGTTATTGAGGGCAGTCTGATTTGCCTGGATTTATTACAATATCCACCCCCCCACACACACACATACGTTTGTGTTTTTATTTTTCAAAATTACTGCATAAAAATAGATCTGAGCGGACCAGAGGCTGGCTTGTGGACAATGATTATTTTAATGGAGTGACGGTGGTGAGTGAAAATTTCTATGGTTTAATCGGGCCATTGCAATTCTTAACATCGATGTATGAATTATATTTTACCATTTCTCCTTGATTTTATTGGAAAGGAAAAAAAAATGCTTTTCCTCAATGACACGATGCAGCGGTCTGAAAGGGCTTGGAAATCAGTCAGCCTATTTTATCTAGAGGATAGAACATGGTAACGAGTGAATGGGAGCGCCCCCCCCCCGAGTGTGTCTAGAAGACCAAAGAAAGACCACACGATTCGGGAAACCTTAAAACACCTTCGTTAGTTTTGAGAATTTGCCGGCGTAGGAAGGTGTGCGGGTTGATATTTGCTCAGTTACCGTAGTGGTGGAGTTCTTCTTTGTGTAAATGGTAATGAGACCGTTAGGTCTGTGTTCACCTGAAGTGCAGCTCTGTGAATCCGAGGCAATTAAACACCTCCAGGATGAAAGGGAAAGGGCAGTGAAGGTTAAGTGAGGAATAATCTGATGCACAGGTGGCGAGAGCCTTTGAGAAGCCAGGAAGGAAGGGAAGGAGCTGTTTCTGAGGATGGAACTCTTGCTGGCATCAACAGACACAGAGGATTTTTCCTTGCAGGGTGTGGCAGGTTATTCTCCCACTCCCTTTATGGAAGCCCGTTCTTTCAGAATTCAAGATCTACCATGCAGGAATACCCAACGGAGATGGCGTCTCAGAAATTCATTACATTCAGTACTTGTTGCTGCTGCATCTGCTGGTCCTGGCGGTGTTTTTGCCATGATGATTGATCTTAAACATTGTTGTTATTTTTCTGGGTTCTAAAGGCAGACCTGCGGAGTTTGTGACAACATATATTTCTTTCGTCCTCTCCCACATAGTTTTGCCTTTGGCATATTTCTCTTACCTGTGCTTTAACCTAGCGTACAGAGCTGTTGTGAAGCGAGGAGACAAACAATTGGAAAACGCCAAAACGGGCTACTTTTTATTTCTCAAATATTTTATTTTATTTTTTTAAATTTTGCTTCCCCTCTTCTTCCCAGGCACTCAGTATTGTTTAGAAAAGGGGACGAAGGTGGCATGAGAAGTGCAATGAATGAATGAATGAATGAATGAATGAATGAATGAATGAATGAATGAATCAATCAATCAATCAATCAATCAATCAATCAATCAATCAGTCAGTCAGTCAGTCAGTCAATCAATCAATCAATCAATCAATCAAAATGGTAAAAAATCTAAAGCAAAGATACTGCACAGAATATAAAATAAACACTGAGGTTAAAAAAACCCTACTGTGCATTCCAAAAAGATGAAACTTAAGCAACATGTTATCCTTTGCTAGCTACCAGTGTCAATGTCCTTCACTTGTTTATTCCTGTATATCCTTCTGAGTTCTGTAGGATGTACTCTTACTAAGTGTATTTAACGCAGAAGCAAAATGCCCAAATATCTACATTTTACGTCCATTCCTCCCTTGAAAGCTAGGTGGGAGGTGCTCCAGCTGTTCTGCTCTCGGAGGTCATTCTGTAGTCTCAGCATCACTGCAGTTAAAAGCCCTGCTTTTCTAGCATGACAAAAACAGCACAGCATTTGCTATTCCAATATGGCCTCAGTTAGGTTGCCAAAAATTGCCCCCCCCTTTTTTCGCCGGAGACTTGGGAGAAGAGGAATGGATGGAGGATGGCAAGGGGCACAGCCAGCAATATGAACTCTTTTTATTAGTTAATAATGTTGCGATTATTGCTGTCATTATTCATATTATTTTTTTAGCCGGGCCATTGCCATTCCTACAGGATTTAGAGCAAGCCTAAATGATGTAAAGACTATGACTCATTATTTTATTTATTTGAATTTTATCTTTCTCTAAGACAACACTTTTCTCCACTCTGAAGACCTTGTAGGCATTATCATTTCTTCAACCAAATTCCCACACCCATTTCCCTAGAACATGGAGTTTACTGGCTTGTGTTCTTTGAGGATAATTCCTTCCTGTTGCCCTCGTGTCCTTCCAGGTCTCTGCACTGAAGAGCAGGTTGAAGAAAGTGTCCATGACGACTGGAGACGGGGTGGCGAGAGCGTTCTTGAAGGCCCAAGCTGCTTTCTTTGGGAGCTACAGAAGCGCCCTGAAGATTGAGCCTGTAAGTTGGCGGCCCTTGCTTCAATCCAATTCTGCTTCATAACAGGTTGCGGCTGTTTGGCTTATAGTGTGGATGCATGTGTTAGATTGCTGGGTGTCGTTATGGGGAAGCATCAGCTTTTTCTTTAGGACTCATGTGCGCCTGCGGTAGTACCTAATGATGGGATTTAATGGCAGAACCCCAAAGAATAGTAGAGAGAACCTGGTAAGAACACGAAATCTCACAAACAAGCAACACCATGGGGATGACAGAGTAGAGGAACTCTAACACTCTCTCTGTGTGTGTGTGTGTGTGTGAGAGAGAGAGAGAGAGATTGAGATTGTGTAAGAGGGGGAAATGCCTTTTTGCCAAGTGGGTGTCTTCTGCTGGGTGGACTTCAGTGCAATTGAAAAAAAAGAGATCCATATAGAATACCTATACGTAGATTGAACAAGGCCACCATCATTTTTCCATGGGTCTGTCCTGTAACTGCAGGGTCTACCAGTTGGTCTCTGTTGGCCTGTAACAACTTGTTTGTTTTCGTGAAGCCAAAGAGGAGGGGAAAAGTTTGTCTGACTGGTCAAGGGATCATGTGTTGCTTTTGCCGTCTCTCTTAATTCCATGGATAAAATGCTATTGAATCAGCAGGTCATTGTGGGTTTATTTTCTTCCCGTATAGTGTGGGGTGTATCTCTGGCACCAAATATGTTTGTCTGACTGGTCAAGGGATCATGTGTCGCTTTTGCCATCCCTCTTAATTCCATGGATAAAATGTTATTGTGTGTGTGTTTTTTTCTGTATGGCTCATTAAAATGTCAGGTGTGAGCATTATGCTCCTCAAGTCCCAGCTGTAGCTTTAATTCCCAGCCATGTAAATAAGCTGTAGGTGCACCAGGGCTGCCCAACTCTTAAGCCTTCCTGATCCATGGCAGGCATCAGCCAACCTTGTGTTTGTGGGTGTGTGTGTGTGGGGGGGGGAAGACTGCTTGGGCTCTCTTATGCTCCTCCTCCTGGTTGCTTAGCAACATGGGAAATATGGGTGTCCATACATTTTAGGATAGGCAGGGATTAGCCAGCCGGAGTGGTTCATGTTAGGTAAAAGCAAGGCACCAGTTCTGAAGGACTTCTCATTTGGAGTCTGACTGTCCTGGAGATGGGTGGGAACAGATAATCCTTTGCTCCCCAGAAAATTGTGGATTCGGGGTGTGGCCAGAGAGATTGTAGAAACTCTCTACCAGAGCCTCACCCCAGATCGTAAACTGGCCTTCGATAGGATGAAGGAAGTGCACTCTGGACTTGCCTGGGGCCCCTCTTGTTGGGATTGTGGTGTGACGTTGGTGAGAAATGATGTGAGAAAGAGGTGGTGCAACCCAAAACAATTTGTGGTAGAAAAATTTCCCTGGAGCACCACCCCCTCTGTTTGCCTGATTATGTAGATGCGTTTGGGTGGTATTTTGAGGAAACGGGGTGTCTGAGAGTCTCTCAGAGAGTAAAGGGGGTCTGTCTTGGATTCTTCTTAAATGAAAGGGAGTTTCTTCTTTGCCTTCCCGTTGGAGGCATGTGGAAGCGAAATGCCACTCTGTAAATACAGCTTTGCACATTTCGCTTTTTAAACTATGAAATGCTAAAAGGTTAAAAAGATCTTTCAAGCACTCTTCCTTGCAAATAGTTATTTTAATTGCTTAATATTGTGGCATTTTAAATATTTATAGCCATACTGCTTGCTGGTGTCGAAGAGAAGAGAGGGTGGCCAACTTTAAAGTTTTTCTCTGCTGGAAACTTGCATAATCCTCTCTCTTAGACTGACGCCTAGTGGCCAGAGACGGTGCCTGGAGCTTTTTCTTGCAGTGTAGGATTCCTCCTTGTGTTCAGAACCTGTCTGTCTGATTTGGGATAACCTCACTGAAGAGATCTCCAGGCATGAGAGACCTACGATAGCATGTCCTGGTAAAAATTTAAAACAAAGTGAAATTTGGCCTCCTGATGTTGTAGGATTTTAACTTTGTGGGATTTCCCCACGCACTCACCTGTAACTCTTAAAAGCCACCCCCTTGGCAAACGTTCTCCTACTGTCAGCTACATATAATCCTTTTGACCCTCAGTTTTGTGTAAACTTTATCCTCAACTGCACTTTTTCCTGGTTCACCTTTTATAAAGTCCCTGCTCCAACTTCCTGGTGGTCTCAGGTACTGTGCTGTTCATCCTTCTCTTAATCCCTGGAGAAATGCTGTCAGACCGTAAAGGGCTGAGTAGACCAATGGCCTGACTTGGTATAAGGCAGTTTCCCCGTTTGTGCATCAGCTCTCCCTAATTTGGTGTCATCCACATGTGCCTAACCAAATTTTCCAGTATTCTCAACCAGTGTTTATTTATATTTATTAACTGCTTAGATTTGCAAATTCAGGGTGATGTACAGTATAGTATGTACAACGTAAAACTGACAGATAATGCAATATACACAATACACAGACACCTAATATGCACATGAACGTACAGTACAACATTCATGAACTACGTTAGCTTTGATTGTATACAGGAGGAGTACATAGATGAGTAGTTTTAACATGCACCCCAAATTAAAGATAGTACAAACTACAGATTGTTTCTGTTTCTAGTCTGAAGCCTTCACAAAATAAGAGTGGATTGACATCCGCTCACTTATATCTTTCTAACCAAAATGGAAGCAAAAACTGGGCTACCAGGGAGCATGGATGGCACCTGAGGAAATGTCTGGGAACGTGAGCAGCAGAGGGATGCTTAGAGAGACTTCATGAAACTATGAGTGATCATGGTGGTCTATGTGGTACTCAAGCTGCTGCTCAGCTTTTAGCACAGGGGTGGTTTCCACCTTCCTTTGCTAGTCGTCAGATCTGTACAAAATTTAGATTTCATAGTAGTCACATCTAAACAGATGTCAGTAAGATGCGAAATCATAGTGTAGAAAAGACCAAGGTGCTCAGAGCTAAGCAGAGCAAGCATGAGCTGGACGTGCACTCATTATTCTGTTGCCAAATTGTTCCTGAAGAGGTTCTCTCTCTCCCCCCTTCACTCTCTTCATCCCCTGTCCTGTTGTGGTTGCCGTGGTGAAATTTCTTTAAGCAGTTGAATAGAGCAGCAAAGAGTCGCGTTGCTTCCTACTCCTCTTAATTGCTCTCCCAACCAGTGGCCGCCTACTTATGGGGGCACTGTATTGATGGCTTTGCTTCCCAAATACACACATCTGAATGTGTAGTGCTCGCACTGAATGCACTGACTCCTGCCTTAGCTCAGTGCTTTCTCTTTCCCGCAAAGAGAAGCAGGAGCTATTCATTCCCAGCATTGTTAGGTGCTTCGCACAAACCTTGCGGCACCCAACAGCTCCGATTGCACCACAGGGGAGATTCCACTGGAGAATAAAGTTAGTGGGTTGGAAGGGTTTGGGGGAGCTGGTGCCAGTATTCAGGGATATCATTTTTTATCCAGTTTTCTCTAGAGAGGCATTTTAAGGTTCTTACTTGGCAATGCAAAACATAGGTCTATGTCTTTTCATCAAGGTTCTGCTGATATTGGGGGAGGGAGAATCCTTTATTTTTGGTTGGAGAATTAGCATTCTGTATTTCCCTGCCTTCAAGGCTGATGATGTCTGTCCCTTAATGAAATGGCTAGCTTCATCACAAATAAGCTCCCGACAGTGCTTCTGTTGTGTTTTCAAACTTGCTTTTACCCCCTGTCGTTCCATGTGAGATAGATGTCACAATAGCGTACTCTACTTTTATTGCACTCTATACTTCTAGTTTTGTTTTTGTTTCCAGTTTAAGCAATGCTATATCCTTTAAAGTAGACGATTGCTCTGTGTTGAAAAATCTGGTCACACCAAGGTGATGGAGACCCTTTGCCCCTGTTGTCTATCTGTCTCGGAGGCTTCTACAGCAGCTCTGCCTAAAAATTTGAAACTACTTCTGAAAAGATTTAGGCTATTCTTTCTCCATTTTAAAAAACTGTTGACAAAACCCTATTTTAAAATAATCTGTTTTATTTTGACGTTACTGATTTCTGTAATTGTTTCAGATAGTATTTATTGCTGTATATTTAACTGTTAATGAAATGGCTAGCTTCATCACAAATAAGCTCCCGACAGTGCTTCTGTTGTGTTTTCAAACTTGCTTTTACCCCCTGTCGTTCCATGTGAGATAGATGTCACAATAGCGTACTCTACTTTTATTGCACTCTATACTTCTAGTTTTGTTTTTGTTTCCAGTTTAAGCAATGCTATATCCTTTAAAGTAGACGATTGCTCTGTGTTGAAAAATCTGGTCACACCAAGGTGATGGAGACCCTTTGCCCCTGTTGTCTATCTGTCTCGGAGGCTTCTACAGCAGCTCTGCCTAAAAATTTGAAACTACTTCTGAAAAGATTTAGGCTATTCCTTCTTCATTTTTAAAAACTCTTGACAAAACCCTCCTATTTTAAAATAATCTGTTTTATTTTTATGTTACTGATTTCTGTAATTATTTTAGATAGTATTTATTGCTGTATATGTAACTGAGGAATTCTTAATGTGTCCATAGGTTTTTTTAATTCATTTAATCCTCCTTCCTCCCTCCCTTCTTTTCTTTCTTTCTTTCTTTCTGGTTTTCTTTCTGGTTTTCTGCCTTTCATGACTGTAAAGTCACTGGTTGCTTTGGATCTTTGAGAGAAGGATGTCATAAAGCTGAAATTGACATAGAGGTCATACTAGCGGTAGCCTGTGTGGGTGTAGAAGGCTGGTGCTTGTGTGCAGTAACCCATTTGATCATCTTAAGAGTAACCAGAAGCCTATTTTGTTATTGCAAGAAGACATCAGGGACCCTAGTTCACTGCAGGACCAGAGACTGGGTGGCAGAGGAGGACTACTTTTTTGCCTACAGCTTCCAGAATTCAGCGGCCATCTCGGCCGGTGGATATTGACAATTGTACTCCAAGAAAGCAACTTTGCCCCATCTCTGGGTGTAGCATAGGGTTCACTTGCTTGGAGGTTGCAGATTCAGTTCCCAGTATCTCCA